ATGGTTTGAGATTGGCCCCCCCTCGAGAAGAGGGGGACTCAGAGGTGCTTGGGTGCCAGGGCAGTGTTCCCTGAAGAGCCAATCACCACTCATGTTGTTCGCTTCTGCTCAAAATCATATATACACAGCCCACCGGAAGCTGTTGGCAAGAGTTCTGCTGTTGGTGTCTGCTGCGTGTAGGTATGGAAGGCCAGGGGGTGGCTGGGCTCCCTCTCTCCCCTCCGGGAGGGAGAGGGGAGCCCTGCGGCCCCCCCCAGCTCTGCCTAGCCCAGAGCAGAGTTAGAGGCAGCATTTTGAGTGTGTGCAGTGAGGGAAGAGACTCACAGCACCTCCTGAACCTGACTTGAGGTAAGAGAAGAGAGCCAGGCTTTTGCAGCCAAGCCTCTCTTCCCCCTCCTTTTCTACAGCTAAGCTGTGGAGGGGGGCTTTTCTGTTCCTCCACTGTAAGTGGAGGAGAGGCTCAGCATTGAAGCTGAGCCAAGTGGACGGGCTGTGGAGGTAGGCCCGGCGCTCGGGAGAAAGAGTCCCAAGCGAAATTGGAGACGGACCCTGCCCAGAGAGAGAGAGGGGGGCCCGGAGGATGTCTCTGCCATGCAGGACAACCGAAAACCTGAGGAGAAATCCACATGCCAGGACGTGGACACTTGATGAGCAGAACCACACTGCAGCAGCCTACGAACCAAGGTATGAGAGAGAGAGAGAGATCACACAGCAGCAGGAGGGCAAGGACTCAGAGCTATCTTCCTGGACTTTATGAGGAGGAGAGACTGCAACAAAACAACTGGAACTTGGTGAGGGGGGAGTGTTCAGGCCCAGAACACTCCCACAGAGGGACTGGTTACTTTCCAGCCTTGAAAAGGCTCTTTCCTGGACTAAACTTAAAGGAGGGGCTTGAAAGGACTGATTGATAGAGATGTAATATATATATAGTTGTCTTTAGCTTGTATAGTATTTATTTGTGTAAATAAATGTATATACTTCCCCCTTCGCCTATAGAAGCCTCTGGCCTGAAAGTTTCTCTTCAGTAGTGTTGGGATAATTGAGGGAGGGGGTGGAGAAGCCTGAAAATTGGATTTCTAGATTTCTAACGTGGCTCAAACTGCCACAGGTGCAAAGGCCATAAACCAAAATACAGGTGTCACCTCAAAGTGAGGAAGAACTTCTTTACATTGAGGGTGGCAGAGCACTGGAACAGGCTGCCCAGGTAGGTCATGGAGTCTCCCTGTCTGGAGACATTAAAATCCCACCTAGATGTGTTACCTGCTCTAGGTGACCCTGCCTTGGCTTGGGGGTTGGCCTAGATGATCTCCAGAGATCCCTTCCAGCCCTAACTGTTCTTTGATTCTGTGACACTGTGCTTCATAGCTGAATTGACCTCAGGCATGGTATGTAGAGAATCCTGATTGCAAACTTCCAGGGAAGCTGCAGAATTATAGCAGTATGCTTTTCATTATCCTTCAGCCCTACAGTACTGACCCTCATTTCTTTAATGCATAAGTTCTTGTAAACTTCAGGGGAGTATATTTGTCCAAGTAAGGACAAGAATCAAAACTATATTTCTTAAGAACCTAAATAGAGCAACAAAACTTAATTCTGTAATACAATATGTCTGACACCATGTATGATGATATTTTAGAAATGGATGTACATGTTGAAAGCTGACATGAATGTACAGTTTATTATGTAGTTGTCATCTGTGTGATAAGTACATTTTGGTTTGGGCCTGTAGCACATACATAAACTGTCCATAATTTTTATGTTGTTATTTTGCTTTATGATGTGGGTTCCTTCATCAAACTCGTAATTTTACAGGGGTTTTCGGCATCATTAACTTCCAGTTTTCTACATTCCAGTTTTGTATTCCAAAATGGAGCTAGTGCCAGACTTGCACAGTCCATTGTGTGATCTTCAGTATCACTCTCTACCATGTCTTGTGACAGCCTTGTGTAGTGTGAGCTGCAGTACTGTCATAGTAGCCAGAGCATAATTTTGTAATGACACAGTGTTACAGTCTTCTGTCATATAAAGAACTTTACAGATTGCAACATTACTTCCAATTACATGGATTTTTTTAATATGTGTTACAGCTCAAAAATATATGGAGATGGTAATGCTGTTCCAAGGATCTTGAAGTTCCTTAAATCTATTGACCTCAAAGAACCGTTGCAAAAGAAGTTCTGTTTTCCTCCTGTCAAAGATAATATCTCTCAAGATATTGACCATATTCTAGAGACACAGAGTGCTCTGGCTGTGGATCTAGGTGGAACAAATCTCCGAGTAGCAATTGTCAGTATGAAGGTAAATATTCTGTTGTGTTTCTAGATATTCTGCAAACTCCACTGGCCTTTGTTGTTCTGTTCCTGCAGTGAGGATATGGGCTTATGATGCAAAAGAGCTCCAAAACAAAGTAGTCCTACTGACCTTTGTTGTTGAGGGATAAGGAAGATTTTTTTCCCTCGTTTGTTGCACCTCTCATAAAGTCTTCATGCAATTTGCCTCCTCGTTTGCTCTGCTAAGACTGATGTTAAACTAGCAAAGCCCGTTTGCTGGTGTGAGGTCATAGCTGCTTCCTCTCTGTGCATTGACTACAGACCTTGAAGAGCAGGACAACTTTCAGATGTGTTGATTCCCTGTGAAAGGTGACTCAGTTCAACCTGCAGCTTCTATGTCAAGCAAAAAAGTGAAAGGCTCCAAGGCAGACTTTTTACTTCCCCACTACCTTACAGAGCCATGTAATGGACACGCAGAACTATTTTGAGCAGGGACTAGCAAAGCAATTTACTGAACTCTGCAGCCCTTCAAAGATGTGAATAAAATTCATGATGAGAAGTCTGTGGCTTTTACTCTCAGCAGTGTTGGACAGTTAGTCCTGCCATTACACTACACACTTCCAGATAACTACATCAGTTAGATGTAGTTACCCAGAGAGCAAAGTAAGATACCTGCAGAAAGATGAAGGGCTCTGTTAAGTGAGCTGATACAGTCCAGAATTTTCGCATTCATTTAAAAGACATCTGACAGATCTTCAAAGTCTTAAAGACAACTTTTAAAAGTGTAATTATCTTAGAAGCAAAATTGACACATTTTCTGTCAACACAGCCTGGAAGAAAATGAATTTTAAAAAATTCTGTCCACTTTTCAGGGTGTAGTTTGAGGTGGCGTTTATGATAGTTGAAATGCTAGCAAATCAGAGTGAACAGGATCAGACTTTCATAATAAAATTTACATACCAGATGTAAACATTCAACAGCAAATGGCAGAATCTGAGATGTAATTCTCACAAATAACCAAGTTTTCAAAAATTCCTTTTAAAAGCTGTTGTGTCTTCTCATAATGTTTGCTGCAACCTTGTCTTCCAAAACAACTTCCAAATTTCCCTCCCCTTCCAAACTAAAAGCGAAGAGGGAACTAAACCTAAAAACATCCACAAAATCTCTTGCTCATGCGATGCTGAGATGGTGGGATCTAATACTCAAAACCATTGACAGTTCTTTTGGTAAGAGTGACTCAGCCATGTTCATTACTCCTCTCTGCTTAGTTGCATCGATTTAGTGCAATTCACTCAGACACGTTGTACAGGGGATGTAACGGGGAGAATAACATTATTAAGCTGTGTACCTTCTGCAGATCCCTGGCTTAGTCCTGCAAGATGAACATTTCTTTAAGATTAGTTTCTTATAGGCATGCATAATGAATACTTTTATTACCACTGCATGACTCCTAGGGCAAAAAATAATCCTTTCCTCCTGGATCCTCCCCACCCTGTCCAACATATTTACAAGGGCATGTAGTGACAGGACAAGGGGTAATGGCTTCAGATTGAAAGAGAGTGGGTTTAGATTAGATATTAGGAAAAATTCTTTACTGTGAGAGTGGTGAGGCACTGAACAGGTTGCCCAGAGAAGCTGTGGATGCCCCATCCCTGGGAGTGTCCAAGGCCAGGATGGATGGGGCTTTGAGCAACCTGCCCTAGTGGAAGGTGTCCCTGCCCACGGCATGGGGTTTGGAGCTAGACGAACTTTGAGGTCCCTTCCAACCCAAAACCGTTCTGTGATTCTATGATGTATCTCAGTAGATGGTACTCCAGAAATATTACAAGTGACTCAGAAGTATAATTGCTTAGAAGAAAAGTTATTTCTGAAAGGATAGTAAATTTTGCCTTTAAATTTTTAGCGTTTCTCTTTGGCTAACTCTCCACAGCAGTGTCTGTGACACCACACAAACTGGAAATATTTTATTCTTAAAGCACTGTGTTTTTTCTCTCCTTTATAGCAATTGCTACTCTTTTTTTTTTTTAACACTTTAGTGTTGAGCTTAAGTGTGTTGCTATATTATGGTTTATGCCCAACAACAGTTCCAGTAGCTCTGGTGATATTTCCTTACACAAGCCGTGTGTTCCTTAAAATGTGTATTTAATTTCAGACAGGGGAGGCTGATTACAGGAGTGGAATGTAATGCCTAATCCTGCAAACTTGTCCCCCAGAGTTGTCAGGAATCTTGCCTGTAGTCCTGAGATCTAAAGCATAGCATCTGGGTTTTTTTTTAAAGAGATAAGTAATAACTCTCTATCTTCAAATTGACCTGTAATTTAAATTAAGGAGACATTTCATCATGAAGTACATTTTTCTAAAAGCAACATTTCTTTTGTTGTTTTTAATTTCTAGGGTGAAATAGTTAAGAAGTATACCCAGCTGAACCCTAAAACCTATGAAGACAGACTGGAATTAATTCTAAAGATGTGTGTAGAGGCTGCATCAGAAGCAGTAAATGTAAACTGCAGAATTTTGGGAGTAGGTAAGTTAACAGATACTAACTTTGTCTTTTCATCTAAGAATTAAATCACTACTCATTAATTTAAAACATTTCTCTAAAATGGATCTCTTGTATTTTAAGCTCTTAAATCATAAATTATATTAAACAAGCTTTTTAAAATGACTGTGAAAATGAGAAGCTGACTATGAAGACTGAGTTTTCTGCAGTTTGTAACAGCCATGAAAACAATCAGCTAAGTTATAGTAAACTATATGTAAAATGTGTGGTACATAGATATTAGGGATTTTGAAGCTTCCTGCTGTCTTGGAGTTGTGAATCAGATGTATATTAAAACAGCTCTTGAAACAGCTGCAGCTGAGTCAAGTTTCTTCTACCATCTGTAAGCCTTTCTTTAGGGCTAGGGTCAGCTGTGCAGCAGAGTCCTCAGTTATGCTAGGGCAGACTAAAATGGCTAGAATGTCAGGAATAAATTTGCAGCTGACAGAGACAAAAGCAGCCTTTTTGCTGACTTCCAGTTTACTTGCACTTGCAGTAGAATTCCACATTAAGCTGTTTATACCAGGCAGAACTTCTTCAGTTTAATGGTGACTGGAACGTTTGGCCTTACATGTTGCAGTTATTTATGAAGGTGTTGATTAATGTGTCCTAAATTTTTAAGGAGGACATAGAATCTTCATTTTAGCTGAGAAATACTCTGTAGGAAAAGTAGTTTGTTCCAGACCAAAACTTATTTGAATCACACAAGAAAAGTTAATTTGAAGATGTCGTATTCTTTAAAAACAATGTTAAGAACACAAAGCCAAAAGAAGAAATGTTAGACCTTCAAATTAGATCTTTCTTACAGCTTTAATGTTCAATTTAGCTGCTTGTCTTAGAAGTTTTATGGCTGCTTTCCATTATAACGTTAACCCTGGAACCATCTGCAGAGAAGTAGCACTACAATAAAATGTTCGAACTTTATTTCTAGAGCTAAATACCTCCATAATAGTTCTCTGCTTTTCAAAAGTCCCAAGAGAGTCTATCAACTTTGGAAGCTTCTCTAGCTAGGGAAAACTGGTTTGGCTAATAGTGCCTGTTACTGGTTATTATTCTGTTCAGTAGACAAATCTCTGAACAGATTTGATTTTTCACAAAAACATGTATTTTTAAGTAGAAATCACTGGTCCAAGTCCAGTGATTCTTTTCCTAAATCTTTAGTCATCTTAGGATGTCTAAATCCTAGTCATCCTAAGTCTTGAGAGTTACAGCAGACTTCAAGACATTAGTAATGTTTCAGGATTTGAATAATTTATTTTGTACAGTTTGCTAATATGTGTTTTGTACATGATTAACAAGAAACACAACTACTAAGTGATTTGCTGCAATCTTGCCTGAAGTAGGAACATTAATTCTTTGACTTAACATTAACTAATACCTGTCTAGTCGGTCTCAAGGACACTTGGTGCATTGTGATTAGAGCAGTGGCATTCTATGAATTATCTCCTTTACTTTAAGGGTAACTGAGCACTGAGACACACTGCCTGGAGAGGTTGTGAAGTCTCCTTCTCTGGAGATACTCAAAACCCACCCAGACACAATCCTGTGCAACCTGCTTTAGGTGAACCTGCTTTTGCAGAGGGGTTGGAGTAGATGATCTCCAGAGGTCCCTTCCAACACCCCCCATTCCATGACTCTGTATCTTTACACGTCAAAAGTTGCACTGCCGGTAATACTTAGGAAACTTTTACTTCCATGCTCTGCTTCAAAGCCTAGTATTAGAAATGAAAATTCTTGTCATTACTAAAAGAAAAACAGGTCTTTTACTTAAGTATCACACAGACTTTGTTTTGATTTTTCTCTCCTATGTTTCTGGGACTTAGGTATTTCCACAGGTGGACGTGTAAATCCCCGAGAAGGAATTGTGCTTCACTCTACGAAACTCATTCAGGAGTGGAGCTCTGTGGATCTCAGAACTCCAATATCTGATGCTCTGCACCTGCCAGTCTGGGTGGACAATGATGGAAACTGTGCTGCTTTAGCAGAGAGGAAATTTGGTCACGGAAAAGGAGTAGAAAATTTTGTAACACTCATTACTGGTACAGGTGGGTGTGTTATAGTTCAATGAAACCCAAAGTCCAGTAGAATCACTTAGAGGCTCAGCTGATCTTAAAAATATAAACACTACCACTATGCCTAGAAAACCCTAATATTTTAGGTTCTTAAACCAAAAATCCTTTTGCTACTCTTATTTGTGTCTTTTAGGGCACTTTTTAATTTATTCAGGCAAATGAAACCTCTTCCATAGTTTAAGCTTCTTGATAAAAGATGTTCTGCCTGATACAGCTATGCAGGCAAGTGAGGAAATTCTAGGCAACTTTCGCTGGAATAATTTTGCATTTTTTCAGCATTGTAGCTTAATTCTCCTTCAGAAATACAAGTCAGATCAGGAAATGTATCTAGAATATAAGCAACTAAATATGAGAGATGATGCTTAGTATATCTCAAATGCAAATCTGGGGTAACTTTTCTCATTTGTTAAGTATATAGTCCTTTAGATGGTGGCAATAATAACTAGCTGATCAATCCACACCCAGAGTTTGAAAAGGGGCAGCAGAGACATGCAGGTTTTAGTGTCCTGGCTCTTTAGCACACAGGTTTAACTGTCTCAATACGGCATTAAAACTTCTCCTCTGAAGTGCAAATTTTAAGGCCACCTGGAAGGACAGTTTTCTGCATAAAGAGCAAGACTCACAAGCTTAAAAGATCTGGCATAGTTCAGTACCATCCTTAGGCTTTTTAAGAAAAGATAAGCATTATATATAATTTTGATATATATATGAATAGGAGGGGGCTGTGAGCTTGCTTATTAGGTGTGTCAAATGGAGAAGAGTTCTTTTAATAACCAGTAATTTTTGATTTCCAGTGTAGATCATCACTGATGCCAATTATTTTATCTTGTCTGTATTGGAATAAGGAAATATCAGTCCTGCAGAACTGGGGCCTTTAAAAACTGTTGTGGGTGGGGCAGTCGTTTGTCTTTTTTCTAACCATTGAAGTTTTCATACCTTTGCAGGAATCGGAGGTGGAATTGTTCATCAGCATGAGCTGATCCATGGCAGTTCTTTCTGTGCTGCTGAGCTTGGGCATATTGTCGTATCTTTAGATGGACCAGAGTGCCTGTGTGGTAGCCAAGGATGTATAGAAGCATATGCCTCAGGAATAGCATTACAGAGAGAAGCCAAGAAACTCCATGATGGTATCTATTTAGTTTATTTTTGAAAACACAATTACTGAAATGCAGTATAGGAAGAAATTTTTAAAGGTAGACCTGCCTTCTTTTTCTACAAGGAGACAAGAGTAGGTGTGCTGGTAACCTGTATAGTACAGATATTTTTCAATGGCAAAGAACATTTGGAATCACTTGTGTCAGAATAACCAGAAGCACACAGTAGAGTTTAGACTCTCCTTTTTAACCATGCTGTAGAGTAATCTGACAGACATTCTGTGGATGTTTGGTTTCACAGTGATTGTCTTTCAGAAATAGCTTCTCGGTCTTAAATAAGTTTGAGAACATTTATATTTTATTAACTTTTGGGCCTGACAAGACTACTGAATTACCACACTATAACTGTTTGAGTTTGATTCCCTGCTTCTGCAAGTAGTTTCCTGAATAATATGGGCATGATTACTTTGGCTAAACTCAGGGTTACGCAGATTGTTCAGGATTCATTATGCAAGTAAAAGAGATGTAAAGACTTTAATTGCCTGGTTTTTCACCATCTCTTTCTTGACTTGCCACATCACCATGTTTTGCTCTCGGCTTTCTCTCCTCCTTTTCAGATGATCTGCTTTTAGTAGAAGGAATGTCAATGAAGAAGGAGGAGATTGTTAGTGCTGCACATCTTATTCAAGCAGCTAAGCTTGGGAATACAAAAGCAGAGAGCATTCTCAGAACAGGTAAGAACATAGCCTAAAAGGTGGAACACTCCCATGATTATATTTTTGGGGATACAGAAATAGTAGAGCACTGTAACAATACAAACACATTCTACACATTTAGGAACACCCTATATTAAAATTACAGTAACCAAACTTCAAGTATAAATGTTGGAGGAAATGTCAGCAGAAGTGTATATTCAAGGTATCTGTTCCAATAAACAAGATTAAAAGCTTCTGCAAAGATCAGTTTAACAAAAAGGAAAGCATCAGCATTCTCATATTGGAAAATTTGGGGACACTTCATTGTAGGCAAGTGAATGGCTAGTCTGAGCTAGCAGAGACAATTTATGTATTACTTTACACAAGATAGTTTACCATTTTACTAGCTTTAAACAGACTCCTCTCCCTCATACATAGCTGATAACACTTAGGATGGTAGAGAGTAATGCTTTCCTGTTTGTGCTTTGCTTACAAGCATGATTAATCATGATTAATATTTTGTATTTCATGTCCATATCACTGATTTATGCATTATTGTGCAAAAAAAAAAAAAGGGCTTTTTTTTTTGTACTTTTACTTTGGAAGATAAAAATTAATGGCAAACTGATATTGTCTGATAACACAAATCCAAAACCCTGCCCTGTGGAACAGAACACTTTCCTGACAGTCTTATTTGCTGCTTACAGACCTATTGCAACTACTGATGCCAGAACTGCTTTGAGTATTATACTTAATTTCTTTTTACTTTATCTTTTCAGCTGGGACTGCATTAGGCCTTGGAGTTGTGAATGTTTTACACACCGTGAACCCCTCTCTTGTGATCCTGTCTGGAGTTCTAGCTAACCACTATGTTAATGCTGTCAAAGACGTGATAAACCGACAGGCTTTGTCCTCTGTTAAAACTGTGGATGTGGTGGTCTCAAATCTAGCAGATCCTGCTCTTCTTGGAGCTGCTAGCCTGGTACTGGATTATACTACACGTAGAATATACTAGGTACCTGGAATAATCATAGAAATGGACTGTTCAAATTCCTAATGGGTGGAGGGAATACTTTGCCCCAAATTTTTCTTTGATGAGAGCAGCTAATGAATCAGAGTAGTGTTCTGAGTAGTTAGTGACCACTTCAGCATTTCCTAATAGAAGTATTATCTTTCTGTAGTTTTCCTAAACTTCATCTGACTTCATAGGAAGTGATGTGCAATTCTGGTTTTTTAAGCACTTCTGTTGGTAAGCCTATACGTTACTTTTGAGTGTAGCTGAATTATTTATAAGCATCTCTTGATGTATGGTGGGGATTACATGTATGGTGTGTAAAATTATAGGTAACACTTGGGGATCCATATCTCATTTCCCACCTGTGTGAAATGAGACGTTTACCAGCTTTTCAGGCTTCCACCCACAAAGTGAATGTGATGTAATCACCAATAGCAGGTAGTAATTTTAGTGGGTGGAAACGAGGGAAGCAGCCTATACAATAAAAAAAGGCTACACCTCGAAATTGTGGTTCATGAAGGACTTGGTAGAGGCAACCAAGTTTTTTTTACATCATCTCTAAAGGGCAGAGTCCCATTTTAGAAGCTTTGCATATGAAAGAAGACGACTACCGTCTAGTTAGCATACAGCCTGCAGAGCAGTGCAAACAAACTCATAAGTTAGCATCTTTGTCTTCTGGCTATGGCCAACAGTTAATTGTTTTAATTTTATTCTTTGGGGATTTCTCAAGGGACTTCATCTACTACTTTGTCTGCCAAATTAGCACAGAGGGGGGACTGCTTATTCTTTGGTAGCAAGTTAGCTGAAATTCAGCCACGTGGCACATCTGATGATAAAAGACTACCTTTCAGGAAAACTCTTCCACTGCAGAGTGACAGGGTGTATCCCTTCACCCATTCTGGTGGCTGCAGGTACACTGTTCTTGTCCTGCATTCACCGTCAGCTTTTAGGATGAAAAGTCAAATCTGACCCTCATTTCACCCTCAGGGCATTCAGATGCCTGGGAAGAAAGTAAGTCAAATACCAGTGAAGACTTGCCTAAGTAAACCATGTTTTATATTTCTTTAACTAGCCCTTTGTGATATGTAGATCCAGCTGCTTTTTTAGCACACTTTCAAAATACTGGAGAAACTGAAAAACCAACCTGTCTATCAGAAAGATAGCTGTGGAGGAATAGTCATAAGACTGCCCTTTGTCCTGCATTTAATGGCCTGTTTTGACACCTAACTCAACCACTGATATTCTCAGAAGTCCAATAATGTGTTAGTACATGAGAATAAAAGGGGCTCTTTCGACACTTGAACTTCTTCTCCAACCAAAATGAAACAACCTTCTGCAACCATTACCTGCTGCTGTACAATTATCTTGGACTGGATAGCTCTTATTATACTGGCTAATTCTGGGATGTTATCTGTACGGATTGTCTTCACTTCATCCTCTCTTCCACAAGGAATGCTCACTGAGAACTCACATCTTCAGAGCAGATTGCAGAACTGCCACCACCTTCCTGATGTCTAGGAACAATTGTGCAGCCTCTACACCATAGTTTTTCTCAAAATCAGCAAATATTGGTTCCAACTATTTTCAACGTTTTAGTAGGCTTTATGTCTACTAGGGATTTTTAGTTCCTTTTCCTACATGTCTTGGTTTACTTAGTGATTCTCACTAACTTCAATACCATTAAGTCTATCAGCATTTCTCTACAGTGAGAGTAGCTCAGATCAGGAGTAACAGCACTGAGGTTCTGACAGTGAGGAGGCCTGTCATTTGATCTTTCCATCCTCTAGCATCACAAGGGATACCTGGGTGGAATGCCTTGCTACAAGTGGGACCAGGCTTTTGCTTTCCAGACCCCCTGAAGCTCTGTATTTTTGATATCTCAAACTCCAGATATGTTTTTCCCTGGCAGCTGAAGGGAGGGTGCAGGCATAGAAAAAACACAATAGAATAAAACTCATTGGAAAAGTTTTACTCCAAACACCTTTAACATCTATTCCTGTTAAAAAAAGGTTCTTAAAATGCTTTTGAAAATGTTTTTTCTGTCAACTGGCTGAGAACCTGCTGCATATGTACACACAGTGCAGAAGTCCCTGCAGTTTCTCCCTAAGAAGTTTGTGTGTTTATAAAATCAGAAAGAATAAAAAATCATATTTCATAGCATAATAGTGATTTTGTTTCTCCTTCCTTCCCTGTTCAGGAACCTCCCTTGCTCTTCAGGTACTTTAATGTGGTCCAGTTTTCATGGACACAACCTCCCAGCTGTATCCAATCCCAGAGGGAGCAAACATGAGATGTTCACAGAACATCTGCAGTACTGTGCTTACCTGATGCTGGCCCTTGAGCAGCTCCCGTAGAGCAGCCCATATCATGAAGATCATGAGCTCCAGTGAGGGCAAACCAGACTTTATATGCAATACTGGAAAAAAGTGGGGGAGTGAAAGCCCTCTTTCCCCAGCTATTGTCAGTGTTTCAGAGCATAAAGCAGCAGTGCATTCTCATTATCTGCACTGGCAGCATCTGCTTATACAACCTGTTGTGTAGAGGCTGGTTTTGCAGTGTCCCTGGTAAGTGCATGTGATATTTTAACTGCTGAAGCCTAAGCAGGAATGCCACAGTCCAGCCCTCTAAACAGAATTGCATATGACATCAACAGCTTGGGTAGAAGATCCCTCATGAACATGGATGTTGATAATCAGCATTACATAAGCAAGCAGCAGCAGTAGAGTCCCAAAAGGTTGGAAAGTGAATTCAAACTGGAGTTCTTAGTGTTGTAACATGTAATTCATGTATCCAATATAAGACCTCTACTCGTTCCTATCCCGCGTTGCTCCTCGTCCTTGCAGCTGGTGGAAAACAACTGGTTTGTCCACAACAGCTCTGCCTAACCACAGAAACCCAACCAGCCAGGACTTGGAATCACAAGGAGGCCAGTTCAGCTGTCTTTTTAGAGATGATTGCTGATGGTTTGCAAACCATATAGCTAATCCATCCAAGCATGAAGGCTTGAATTTTTTTGTCTCCTGACCAGCAAGTTTAGTTATTCAGTATTTTGAGTCTTTGATCTGTCATCCAGCCACTCAGAATCAACAAATGCCTCAGTTTTCTGGTGGTCTTGAAGCACTGTCCTTCCTCTATTTAATTGTAACAAAATTGTCAGAAACTCATAGGTATTAACAACTGAGGCTATGGCAATTTTGTATCACCAAAACCCATCACAGAGAATAAGACGCAGACACAATTTATACTCTGATTCACTGAAATCTGATCACCGTGTCCCTTTCAAATGCCATGGAGAGGTTACAGGCAGTAAGTGTTAAACCCCTGGACTGTACACCCCTTGGACCATTCCAGATAATCGTGTTTGTATTAGAACAACTGTTCTGCAGAGGAACAAGTTTGCCCACAACAGGTACTACTGAAGGAATCCTCTTTGGCAAAGATGACAGATACCCATCTCATCCATTCTGAAATACAAGCCAGTAATCTATACGTTTCTCTCTCACTGAGCTGCTCAGAAACAAACACAGCACCAAGAAACAGGCAAGCCACACCACATTGTTTTATGGCTACTTAAAACTTACCCACGTTCCACAGGCTCAGAGGATGAATGCACAGTGCTGCTGTTTTCAGGCTCCCTGCTTTCTAACGAACCCATGACCTCTCCATCCCCCTTCTTTACAAATGCTCATTGTAATTTCAGACTGCCTAGCTGCTGGCTGCCACCTGATCGCAAGCTAAACAAAGCAAGTTCTATACCAGGATGTTATTCAGCAGGAGTATGCAGCTTCTCTCTCAATGCTGCATGAGATCTTTGCAGATTTGAAGGATTGGAAGTGTCCAGGTTTTCTTCCAATTTTCACAGACTGACTCAATTTTCTATGGAGATAAGCAGCAACAGTGGGAAGCTAAAGTCAGTAAACAGAGGAATGAGTATGCTCAGTTAGGCCAGAGTTAGGACAGAATTGTCACATGAAGTCACAAAGCAAAGTGACAGATGCTGACCTCTGAAGAAAACAAGTCAATGTTCAGAAAAACAGACAAGGGCTTTGATTTGCCCAAATAAACCCTGAGTATTCTTCTGCTCACTGTGACAAAGTCTAAGTATCCAAAATAACTCTCAGACACAGAAAACATCCAGACCCCAGGAGTGCCGAGTGTAGTTCTGAGCTCCCCCAAGAGAGACAGACACACTGAAGAGTTCAACAAAAAGCAACTAGAGCATTTCTCCTGTGAGGAAAGGCCGAGAGAGGTGGGACTGTCCAGCCTGGAAACAAGAAGGCTCAGGGGGATCTTATCAATGTATATAAATATCTGAAGGGAGGGTGCAAAGAGGACAGAACCAGGCTCTTTGCAGTGGTGCCCAGTGACAGGACGAGAGGCAATAGGCACAGACTGAAATGCAAGTTCCTCCTGAACATCAGGAAACATTTTTTTGCTATAAGGGTGACCAAGCACTAGCACAGGTTGCCCAGAGAAATGATGGAGTTTTGCTTCTTGGAGATCTTCAGAAGCTGGACATGGTCCTGGGCAACAGCCTCTAGGTGGTTCTGCTTGAGCAGAGGGGTTGAACCAGATGATCTCCAGAGGTCCCTTCCAACCACAGCCAGCCTGTGATTCTGTAACAGCACTGATAAAGGAGACAGTGAACTAGCATACTTGAATGTAAAATTAAGGCAGAAAAGGTAATTTACAAAATCTCAGCACAAGAGCTAGAGGAAGTAACCCAAACCCACAGAGCTGCCTTTTAAGTGTTCCAGCGAGACGAAATACGTAAAAAAACTGCAAAGACATTCTTAGCCTCTGCAAATCCAGCTTATAAAATACTCCTTTAATATTGCTGTAATATTGCTTTGGCCTTGAATTTGAGTCTTTGCCTATTTTCTTGGATTGCAGCTCAAAGCCATGTCTGTAGCCAGATAAAATGTCCTGTAAGACAGGGCAATGTGATGATCAATAAATTCCATAACTAAGTGTGCAGAAACCTCACTAATATATTAATTTTTCAAATCCTACTAAATTCATATTAACATTTTTAAGACTCTGAATATCACATAGTGGAGTTTTCTTTATTAGATTATCAATTCATTTTGAAAGTCGTTGTTTTTAGAGCCTTGGGAGTCAGCAGAAAAAAGGAAGTTTTCAGTCAAGGTGCCAGCATTGGTCAAGGCTAGCAATGGACTTGCTCTGTGTTTCAGTCCTATTAGACTCACCTATGATATCCGTGTGCAGTTCACAAATATCTTCCTGCTTTAATACATTCCACGGAATCAAGCTTCCAGACCTGTCGTCAACAGCAGACTACAGCAGGTAGTTCCAGACTACCATTCTCATCACCACTCATCAGCAGCATGTGAATACACTTGCAAAGATGAAAGTAGCTCCAGTCACTACAAACAACAGTAAGGTACAGCTTAACTTCTGAAGCCCAACTGGAAACCATTTATTCTCTATCTTATCCACCAAAGGGGGACAGCTGCTGGTAAGACAGCTAGTACGTTTTAGTCTGCATCTGCAACCCTTTTCAAGCTGCCTGGACCAACCTTCCAGCTTGTGTGTAAAAGAGATTAAAGCAATTATGCTACACAGGAGTTAAGATACTGTGTCTTTGATAAAAATGGTGGAATAATATATGAGACTGAACAAATTACTCTGACAGGAGAGAAAACTAAGGTAAGCCTTAACAGAGCAAGGCTGGAATACGGTCCCTGTGAATGCTGGGTGAGCCAAGGAAGCAGAACAGTGATTTTCCGGAACAGTTTTTTTCAGATTCAACCACCTTGGCAGACAGAGCTCCAACCTGCAGACGAACAGCAGTAAGAGCAAGTCTTCCCTTGTCTTGCTCTCCAACTCTCCAGTTCACCACCCTGGTGGGAGAAAGTCTCTGCAAAAGTTAGTAAGGACAAAGACACAGTTCAAAAACACCCAGGCAGCCCCTGCACAACAGATCTTTTGCACTGAATACCTAGCAGAACAGAATATGCAGTAGAATGTCAAAAGCTTTAAACTACTCAGTGCCCTGTACTGTATGTTGAGCCTAAGATGGGCAGCCAGAGTGACAGCAGAAAACTACACAGACCTGCTTACCTGCAGAAGTCAGTGTCCTCAGTTCCACTGGAACAGAGATAAGCTCCTTAACAAGCCTGCTGCTGCAGTTTCCTAGAGCTTTTATCTGGTGTGATAAATTGGATAGGGGAGCAGTTTTTAAACTAAAGCCCTCAAGAGCTTTAAGAAAGCTTAATGAAACAAGCAGGACAGCCTCGCAGAGACCAGGAGCACTGCTGTCTGGACTAGTCACCAACAAGGTGAAATCACTAGCCATTATGAGAAATGTTTTCTCACACCCAATTCAAACACCAACGGTCAAAAGGGAGCAGGACACCACCTTAATTCATCCAAAGTCAACAACACATTTTGCTGTTTAACAGATCTTTAATATCAGTAATGTGGGAAGTGACACCTCAGTGCACAACAGCACAGAGACTACAGTTTTGGAGGTTCTCCCATTTCAGACACAGAAAGGAAACATTGGGAAGAACATGCAATCAAACAATGATCAGATCTAGATACATCATGATGTTGTCCAAAAAAACACATTGAAACAATTAATCAAATTACTGCAAACATAGCTTCTCTGAGTAAGGTTAAGATATTGCATTTGTAGTGTTTCCATTGAGCTTTGCTTCAGCGAACCAGCGGAGCCTGCTTGAGTGAGATGAGGACTGAACGCATGCGAGACACATCTTTTGCCTGCTTACTAGACTTGGGATTAAAGTCACAGAGCTGAGCCACACGTTCCCACTCAGTGCCCGGACAAACGTCTTCTGCATCATTCACAAAGGCTTCTTCAGCTGCCCTAAAAGCAATGCAATGCACTTTGTGTTAATGCCCAGCATATAAGGCACTCCTTCCCTCTTACAGGATGCAGTTTCTTTCATAAGAATGTGACCTGACAGCTGTTTGTGGACATTATGGCCACATAAGATCCCCCTGCCCCAATCCTGGAGATGAAAGTAGATTGCAATAGTATGCTATGCACAAGCAGTGCTGAGGTTTGCTGTGTAAAATGTTGGAATACAGGTGTTTGGTTTTAAGAACAGTCATTGAGTCTTTGCCTAAGGAGTCGCCACACAAACTGACAGGAAGTAAGGTACTTCTATGTAGGCAT